TTATGGCCACCCATGTTCAGTGCTTAGAATGGAGGCCAAAACCATTCCCTCAGAAGCTGTGTTTCCTCACCAAGATGGGATTGCATGTTGCCCTTCTCTGAGGGCAGCCCTGGATTTTTGGTGTCTTTCCTTTCCCGTCCTGGTACTTGGCACCTTGTAGACAGTTGCATGTCCCCTGCCAAGGGATGGGATGAGGAGAGGGCAGGAAGGCATCTTCTGGGGAGTGGAGTGCTGCGTTCATTGAGTGTGGGATCCTCAAGTTGCTGGCACAGCCCATGGAGGGAAGATGCCTCTCAGGAGCACTGGGCCTCAGTCCTGGCTCTCTCACGCCAGGTTCCAGGTCACTGCATCGATCTCTCCACCATGTGCTCCACATCATGCTGGGTCTTTAAGAGACACCAATTATGTGGCTGACACTGTGTCCTCAAAGAGCTTAGAGGCTGGAATGGGAACATGTAGGGCGAGATTAATTGTTAATTGTGTAGCATGGACTGTGTGGGCTTCTCAGGGTCTAGAAGGGAGAGAAATTGGTAAGAATTGGTGGCACACCTGTCAGAACTCCCCAAACCAAGCTAAGCAAAAAGTAACCAGTCAGTAGAGCGGCCTTTGGAGTTAGGGCTAAAATGACGTCATCAGGGCCTGGCTTTGCCTTCCTTCCTTGTCAGTTTGCTTCTTTGGGTCTGGCTGCATTCTCAGACAGGCCATGCTCTCGTGGTGGCAAGGTGACATGGCAGGGTCAGTTTCAGCAGGAAAGAATGCTCTCCTGTGTCCCCCACTTCCTCTAGAGGCCACACTCACCTGGATTGGTCCTTGTGTCTGTCCCAGAATCCATCGCTGGGGCCAGGGGACTATGACATGCCACTTGGCTTAGACCAAGGAGCTTTTCAGACCACCCACCTGAAGCTCAGGGTGTAAGCCTGCAGGAGAGATGGATTCCCCAAAGGACACGGGGCCCTTGCTTGAGTAAAGGGGAAGTAGGTGCTGGAGAGGAAGCCACGTGCCTCCTCCACATGGGGCGGGCTCCTGGAGGAGGAGGGCAGGGTAGGGAGGTGGGCGTGCAAGTCGCCCTGATGGGGTCTAGAAATGGGGGCCACAGGCTTGGAGAGAAGCCTCAGTGTGGCTTGGAACGTGGTGTATGATGGTCTGCTGGGAAGGCCGGCCTGCACAGCGGCTGGAAGGGGGTAGGAGTTCTGCATGGGGAGCACAGACAGTGCTACCTCTCCCTCGCACTCAGCTCACAGGGCATGAGAGGCTGATTTCCCACGAGCCTGTGGGCCAGGCCTCTGGATGGTGCTGAGGAGCTTTGCCTTGGTTCCTCCGAGTCCCCACGGGGCCATGGGAGGCTCCCTGGCAGTGTG